TATGTTTCATTGTTTGTTGGGGTGAAAGCAGTGGGAGCATGTCTGTGGTTTTTGGGGGTTGCCTGCCTAGCTGGTCGCTTTCCCATACCAGTGGTCTCCAGTGCATGAGTGCCTGATCGCAAGTAGCCTCATGAAGACCAGGATTGAGTTACTTAGCATTGGTTAGGCAGTTAAGTGGGGAAGCTCCTTTAAATTGTCAAGCCCTCTCTGGGCCAGCTGATTCTGTCAACACCTCCCCCTTCCGCGCCACCACGCCCAGCAGTCTGCAAAAATACCAATCTGACTGTGCACTGGGCTCCACTAGACGAAAATACCACCGCGCTGGGTTTGCCACCGTCCGCCGCATCGCCGGCGGGCACAAAAATAGAGCCCATTGTCTCAATTTGCCAAGGCAGATTTGGTTGATTTAGCTGTACATTTAGGGTTGGAAAAGCCAGAGCAAATTCCTAAGAAAGCAGACTTAAAGGTTATTGTTGAGGGTTTAGCAGTTGCAGCAGGTATGTTGGAGCCAGAGAAGGTAATGTGTTGTGATGTGAAGATTCCGGGAGTTGTTGAGAAGCTGTCATTTAAGCAAATTATGCAGTTGAAAAGAGAGAAAGCAAATTTTAAAAGGAGATATTGCAGTTTAGTTGGAGCATGAAAAGGTAAAGACAGAGCAGGCACAGAAAATCAGGGAGTCAGAGGTCCAAGTAGCTTTGGAAAGGAAAAGGTTTAAAATTTAACAGTTAAAATTAGAGTTGGTAAGAGAGGGGGAGGCCAGTGAGTCTCTCTTAGGCTCTGGTTCTGCAAGGCAGTCAGTTGGTGGATGTGCAGGGTTTGATGTTGCTGGAAATCTGTGCTTGTTGCAGAAGTTTAGTGAGAGGGATCCAGATACCTTCTTTTCTTTGTTTGTAAGGGTGGCAGATACGAGGGGTTGGCCTGATTTTGATAGGACCTTACTGCTGCAGTGTGTTTTCACAGGCAAGTCTCAGGAAGCATATTCTGCCTTTAGTCCTGTTGATTGCATGGATTATGCTTAAGTAAAAGCTGCAGTACTTAAGGCATATGAATTGGTTCCTGAGACCTAAAGACAAAGATTTAGGAGCTGGGGGAAAAGTGACAAAGAGACTCATGTAGAGTTTTCATGCGAGATTGCTACTCATTTTGGAGGCTGGTGTTCTGCCTCTGGGATGGATGATTATGAGGGTTTGTGTGAACTTGTTGTGTTGGAACAATTTTAAAACTCTCCCAAACTATACTGCTCTACACATTAATGAAAGTAAGGCCGAGACAGCTTCAGCAGCAGCAGTAGTAGCAGATGAGGATGTTTTGACTCATGTTAATAGTTCAGAATGGTGCAGAGGTGGGTCTGATACATATAAAGACAATGTAAAGTCTGGTATGGGCAAGTTTGTTGGAGCTCATCAGAGAGCTTGGGCATACTGTACATAGTCTCTTGGCAGTGTTTAGTGATCACTGGAAGACTGTTGACCCTCCCGACAATATTTTGAATTATGTAAATGACTTTTGTTGTTGTTTGCATAATGTTTGCATGACTGCTCTGAGAAAACTTGGTTTGGCTCAAGACAGAATGAAGGACCATTTTGACTGGAAAAAAAATCTGTGTGTGCACACCTGTACACTTCTTCCTTTTTACAGTCCACCTGGAAAATTGCGCATTTAATTCATGTCCTGCCCGCTACACACCCACTATTCACCATGTATGGTCATCCACGGCATTTCACGCTCGACCATAGAATCAAGAAGTCCTAAAAGAAACTTTTTAGAGACCGTGGTGGAGGTGCTTATTCACAAGGTGGTGGGGAGAGGGGATATTTTATTTGGCGGACAGTCCAGTGGAGTGACAAATAAAAGAAAAGCCACTGAATGGCAGCTTGTGGCTGCGGCGTTAAACAGTGTGGCTGGTGAGGCCCGCAGTGTTGCTGAAATCAAAAAGAAATGGTCAGATCTCAAGGTGGAGGAGCAGAAAAAAAGTGGCGTCGCACTGTTGGAGCGTGGCAGCTACAGGTGGGGATGAAAAGACAGATGAAAGTACGTGTCAAACTTTCAATTCGTTCATCTGCACGGGCAGTGTTTCAGCTCAAACATGTCCGTTAATCTGCCGCTACATATCGGGTGCCGTTTGTAAAGCAGCATAGTAAAAAAACAGGATGATTTGGTCACATTTATCTTCAAACATTTAAAGTGATGTGAAATGGAATTCATTCTTTTGCACATTTACAACATTTGTTAACCGAGAATAATCTTAAATCCGTAAATCTATGTATTAAAAGTTAAAACTAATTGTTCAATGTTAAATCTAAATGTTAAATACAAATCTTTAATCTAAATATAAATCTTAATGTTCAATCTAACGGCACCCCATATAGCTGCAGTAAATGAATTAAATGTGTAACACATGTAAATCAGTACTTGAGGCATTTCTGTGATGTTTGGACTGACACCCTCACTTTTGTGACTTTTGACTGAGCACGACAAGTCTACCGATTTTCCACACAGGTGGAGGGCAGGCCACAGCAGAGCCAACGCTACTCGACTCTAAAATTGCCTTGATCATTGGAAGAGCCAGTGTGTCTGGCGTAGTGTCAAAGAGGGAGGGGGACACTGAATTGGCTGAGACTGAGGAGACTGGTAGGTTACAATTTTACCTGTTTACTAAATTGATTAAATATGTCAAAATGTGAAAAATTTAAGTGGAATAATGAGTTGTGTCCTCAGTCACTTTAGAGTTGGAAGCGGTGGGTGAGGAGGAGGTTCCCAGCATGTCTGGCACACTGGCTGCAGGCCCGTCTGTCCCAAGCATGCTCAGCAGGTCCAGAGCACAATGAGTCGGCTGGAACCTCACCGAAGGTGTCCTTCAGACACAGAGGGACATCATAAATGCAATTGGAGAAATCAGGGATGAACCGACAGGTGGTAGGGGAATATCATCCCTCAGTGCTAAGTTGTGCAGCACACCACATGCCTGCAGACCTTTCTGGGGTGATAGAGCAGTTTGCACCCTGAGGCATCTAGGCACCTCCAACAGCTTTTCAATAAGCTGATGGCGCGCTCCACAGTGGAGTGCACACGGCCATGCGCTACATTGAAGCGCCATTCCTCTGCACTCTGCGGGTTCGCAAAAGGTGTGAGAAGCCCCTGCCTCAGTGGGTAGCCACTGTCACTTAGAAGGTATAACCAGAGTAATTATGAAGCAGGATGCAATTACATTCCACAAGTGCCACTCAGTGACAGTGCGTCTGCACTGCCAGCAACAGTATGGGTCAAATGTAGACAAAATAATTTCTTCAACAGAACAAATAAAGTTGTGTGAGTTTAAATGCTATGATGTTAATGTACTACTTACCAAGGAGCCAGCCATCATGCGCAGCGCCTGCTTGCAGTCTGTTCCCCACACTGCTGTGCATCAATATGAATAAGTCATGTTGAGCCAGGCCACCGAGCCACTAAATTTGTCAACAACATTTTTGAGTCACAAATAATTTGATTGATGGTATGCAAATTTTTTTAGTTCACCAAGACAAATTTGTTTTCACTGGGGGCCCTTATAGCAATGTGGGTGCAGTCAATTGCGCAGACTATATAAGAAAAAAACGGACATTGCTGCAAATTGCCTTTTGATGGTGGCCTTTTCAACAACAGTTGTAGAGAAACTTGATGTGTCGACTAGTCATTTGGATGATTCCATCCACAATGGCTGGCAGTATGGCACTGAGGGATGGCTGCGATATCCCAGAGCACAGAATTTAATATTAATATAAATAAGTCCCAAATGGGCCTTAGGCACAAATGTGACATTATATTGGGTTAGATATTACTTTACTCATCCGTTAGTGGTGAAATTTAAATTATATTGCGATATCACACATTTACCTGTCAGGAAATTCCCTCTGGAAAGAGCCCATTGCCAAAAAACCCATTGTGGTGAGTTGATGGAGGTGCATGCAGGTTGGTCACATGCACCTCCAAGTACTTGGTATGGCGCGTGCAGGTCGGTTGCTCAAAAACTTCAGCACATAGATCCAAGAGCACTGCTCTAGGGAATCTAAAACGGCTTATTAGCCAGTCATCATCATGAGCCAAGAAATCTTCACGATCATGGAACACTCTCTCCAGTCTGATCCATCCTTTTGCACGGTCTTTCAGTAGCACCAATGCATCCATTGTGCCGCATTGCGCACGACTGTCACTGTATGGCTATTTAAATGCTCAGCCATTTACCGATCGTTCCACACCTTGTCACAGTTGTCTCCAAAACTTGTTTGTGCAAGGTGTGCACAAATGGCACAACATTGTGCGCATTCCTGTTATGTTTTTTTTTTTAATAAATCTGAACTCTTGTGTAGGAAGTGGCCTACGCAAATTTCAAGCCCTGTTTAGTGCGTAAGCAAGCTTTATAAATTAGGCAACTGGTCTTTAGCTGTCTGTGAAAGTAGAGAAGGACTGTCTGGATCTAGTGGAGTTGGGCAATTCATTCCACTATTTAGGGAGGGGCAGGGGAGGGGAGGGGCTCGTTCAATGAATGAACTCGCCACTGTATCACTCACTCGTGTACTGCACTGGCGGGAATGGCCTCCGAAGCACTAACTGATTCAGTGAACGAATCTTTTGAACAAATCGTTTTAATGAAGGGATTCTAAAGACTCAGTACAGTCAAAAGAACTGCTCTTCCCATCACTAACTGGAAGCTCCAGGTGCTTTTCTGCTGAACGATTAAAGTTTTGAATTTGATGTGAGTATTGAATTTGACGTGAGCTGCAACCGGAAGCCAGTGAAGGGAGGTGAACAGAGGAGTGACATGAGCTGACTTAGGGTTGGTTGAAAACCAAACGTGCTGCTGCCCTTTGGATCATTTGCAGAGGTTTTACTGTGCATGCAGGGAGGCCTGCCAATAAGGGGTTGCAGTTGTCAATGTGTGAAATTACAAGAGCCTGAACCAGGATCTGTGCTGCATACTCTGTCAGGTAGGGTTCTTCTTCTTCTTCGAGTCCGTAGCGATCTCAGATGACGTTCTGCCAGTATCGGGCATAGGCCACAGCTGCTGGAGTAGGCTCTGCCAGGTCTTCTGGCCTGCACTGGGGGGCATCGGCACATTCCAGTAGGTGGGACATTGTCTGCATTGATCCACAGCTACACATGTCTTCTATTGTGTAGTTCCACACTTTCATCAGTGCTTTGCACCTCCCCTGTTCCACACGCAGTCTATTAAGTGACTTCCAGGTAGTCCAGCCAAGGTCGTGACCACTAGCGAGGCTTTCCGTTGGTGTTATTCCTCTGTCCAACCATTTGAGAGCTCGTGGGTCACAGCTCTTCCATTCATCTTCCCAGATGTTGGCCCTTGTTGCTTCTTTGGTTGTCTGGAGGGGCAGAACAGTCTGAACAAAACTAGTTCTGGATCGGAGCATGCGTAGGGGTGCTATGTGGCCATGTAACGGGTGTCTGACATCCATCTCCATCTCCTGTGTTCTCCGCTCATCTTGAGCGATACCCAATCGTCTGATGTGCTGGGGAGAGATGCCTGCTAGTGCATACAGGCACGGGATAGGTGTTGACTTGACACAACCCGTGATGATGCGGCAGGTGTCGTTTAGGGCTGTGTCGACCAGTTTGGTGTGGCGTGATCAGCTCCAGCTTGAGCAGGCATACTCTGCTGTGGAGAAGCACAGGGCTATGGCAGTAGCACGGATTGTTGGTGGATCTGCGCCCCACTTGGAGTTATTAGTTTGCGTAGGATGTTATTATGGGTGTTGGCCTTGGCTTTAGTGTTCTCCAGGTGTTTCTTGTAGGAGAGTGTCCTGTCAAGTGTGACTCCAAGATACATGGGATGTGGATGGTTGGACAATTTGTGGCCATCCCAGGTGATGCTCAGTTCTCTTTTCGTGTCACGGTTCTTCAGATGGAAGCTGCATAGTTGGGTTTTGGATGGGTTGGGTTTACGGTGGTGGTTATTATTGTAGTAGTTTGATATTTCTTGGAGGGCACTTTCAAGGACGGACTCAATCTTCTGGAATTCTACTTGTTGGGTGGTGATGCAGAGGTCATCTGCGTAGATGGCACGCTGGCATTCTGGGGGTAATGGCTGGTCATTTGTGTAAATATTGAAGAGGAGAGGGGCCAAAACGCTACCTTGTGGGAGGCCGTTCTTTTAGGCTTTCCATTTGCTCCTCTGGTCATTTAACTGGACATAGAATCGCCTGTTGTTGAGGAGGCTTTTGATGACTTGACAGAGATTCAGGTCACCAGTCATGTCCAGTAGTTTCCTGACCATTGCGCGGTGTTGGACAGTGTCATAGGCAGCAGTTAGGTCTATAAAAGCTGCTCCAGTTATTAGTTTCTCTTCAAACCCATCCTCAATGTGTTGGGTGAGGTTAAGTAGCTGTCCAGCACAGGAGCGGCCAGGGCGGAAACCAGCTTGGTCTTTGGTCAGCTTGGTGTCCATGAGAGGCATCAGGCGTTGGAGTAGCAGCCTCTCATAGAGCTGGTATGTGATGCAAAGGAGAGAAATTGGTCGGTAGCTCTTTGGGGATGAGGGGTCTTTGCCGGGTTTGGGGATTGCAACCACTTTGGCCTTTCTCTAAACAGGTGGGATGGTTTTCTGCGCCATGCATGTGTTCAGCATCTCCAGGAGCCAGGTCTTTGCTTTGGGTCCCAGGTGCTGTAACATTTCTGCCAGAATATCATCAATCCCTGCTGCTTTTCTGGGTTTCAGCTTTCCCAGTGCAGTTTCGAGTTCTTCTATGTCGAAGGGTTTGGTGAGAGAGCTGGCTGGTTGTGGCTGGTCTGATATTACTGTGCGATGGTGTTCTCCTGTGGGTCGGCGGTAGAGTTGGTTTCGGCCGTTGGCCACCAGCTGTGATGCAACAGAGTTTGCTGTGACTATTGTGATTATGGGTGGAGTGGTGTGGTCTTCGCCAAGGTGGTGGATTGTGGCTCATGCCTTCCTGCTGTTGTTTGCCATGTTCGTGTTCTCTATCAGCTCCTTCCAGACTTTCCTTCATTCTTGACCAACTTCACTGATGAGGGTCTCTCCCAGTTCCATGGTGGTGGAGGAGAAGGGGTCGTTGTTATATTCCTCATAGTAGGCTTTCAGCAGGTCGCTGGATGTTTCTGAGAGCCCAGGGATATACTGTGTCTGACATCCTCTGGGTATGTGATGCCTGGCCGACCTTTTTACCAGATCTGTGAAGTTGGAGTAGTTGTTGGGAAGTGATGGTATGTTAGATATGGAGTGCTCTATCTCCTGTTGGAATGACAGCCAGTCAGCTTTCCGCAGGTTGAACCTCCTGCGGAACGGGATGGTGGTTGCTTGGAGAGCCGATGTAACAGTGATGGCGATTGGCCGGTGCTGGGTATGTAGGATAGGGTCCAGGACTTCCTTGTGGGTTCTCGATGCGATGTCGCTGCTAACACAGGCAAGGTCTGGGTTGTATCCTCGCTTCCATCTGGCACTGTGGAAGGATTTGGGGAGTTTGGCGTTGTGGATTAGGGTGAGGTGTTTTGACTTGAGCCAGGTCTCAACTTCATCTCCATCTTTGTTATTATTCTCGTAGCCCCATGATGTGCTGTGGGCATTGAAGTCGCCGATGCTGATGTGAAATCTCCTCTTGCATCTTTCTGGTAGTTCTGTGTATAGAAAGGGGGATGCAGGTGGTTTGTAGACTGATGTGACAGAGACATTTGGGAGGGCACCTGTGATAGTTTCCATGTTCCCTTCTGTAGTGTGGGTCCAAACTTCCTCAATCTTGAGGTTTGGTCTGCTGAAAATAGCTGATCCATACTCTCTGTGTCGGCTCTCAGCGATCAGATTCATTCCAGGGATGGTAGGACGGTGTTGTGCAGGGCCGATGTGGGTTTCCTGCATGCAGAGTATGTCAAAGCGATTGACCATCGTTGGAGAGCTCTGCTTTACATCCGGAGAAACCTTCGATGTTAACTGAGACAACTGACAGTGCGGGTCCAGAGAGAGGCAGGTATCTGTGGCGCTGTCGGGATCCGGCAGTCATCTTCATTGTTTGGTTGCGTGGGTGGTTATACAGAGATTGGCCTACTGGCGATGTCAGATTACATCCTCTTGGATGTATCTTTCTTTCACCAGCATTTCCCAGGCTGCACCACAGGGAGATGTCTGTATCCGCAGCCCGTCAGGTCGGGTCTGATCCTCCTGTTGTTAGAGAGGGCAAAATGACTGGACTGAGCAAATGAGGCAACATGAACCCTGAGGATTAGATGGTCATTAATCACCACACCCAGATTTAGGGCAGACTTAGAAGATTTGAAAATTTGATCCAAACTGGATATTGATCTGTGGGTCCACAGTGGGTCTGGCTGGGATAATAATCAGCTCAGTCTTGGACAGGATGAGATCCAAGCTGAGACAGTTGTGACATCAGGTGGACAGAAAAAGCTGAGTATCATCTGCCTAACTGTGATAGGAGAAGCTGTGGGAGTGGATGATTTCACCAAGTCGTATGGTGTATATTGAGAAATGGTGAGAACCAAGGACTTACCCATGTGGCACCCCTGTTGATAAGCCATGCATATTGGACACTTCTCCCCTCCATGATACTCTAAAAGATCTCCCTGGGAGGTAGAACTTGAACCACTGGAAGTCTGACCCTGAGATACCAAGTGAGAGTAGTGTGGAGAGGAGGAATTGGTGGTTTACTGTGTCAAAGGCAGCAGACAGATCCATCAAGAGAACTGAGGACTGACCAGCCACTTTAGCCAAACACAACAATTTCGTTACAAACAAAAGTGCAGTTTCATTTGAGTGGCCCTGCCTAAAGCTAGACTGATTCTGAGTCTTTTTTGGTTACATTTACTGCCAGAATGCCTAAAGAGGTGACTTGGTTCAACATGTTTGATATGTTAAAGAACCATTGTGGTGAAGACAGGGCCAAGCCCTCACTGTGAAAGACAGCTGTTTTTGCCTTTTGATGAGCAGCCAAAGTGACTGGGCCACCAGGACCAGAGCTAGGATGTTTGGTTTAAAATCTGAACAATAAGGGGTTGGATGGCAGTACTTTGAGTGATCCCACTACAGCAGCGATCACACACATGTACAGTCATATGCATATGCACTGTTACATTGGTTGGTTGGTTTGTTGGTTGGATGGATTGGCACTTACACAAGTGATTTTTGCAATTGTACATAAGCTTCTCTCCAGTCCATATGCACACACACACACACACACACACACACACACACACACACACACACACACACACACAGAAACATAGAAACAACAGTATTTCCTGCTGTGTTAATCAGGCTGACAGCTGGGACAGGGAATTGGGTTGATATTTCATACCATTATTGAACAAGTGTCCATCTTCTGATCTATCTTTTCCATTGGACCATCTTTATACCCTGACACCACTTTCTATTTTATAACAAATGGAACAAATATTGGTTCAAAAGACGATATCCTTCGTCCTTCAGTAAACTACTCAGTCAGGTCTGGGGAAACCTTAAAATTCACCATTCAGTTCGTGGCCTAAACTCCGTCATGGTAATGTGAAAAAGTAATCGCTAATTATTATAAATGCTTGATTGCAATTTTTGTGGTCAAGGGTCGCGCAACCAGCTATTAGGTTTACGGGGCAATAACTATTTCAAATAGGGCCAGGTCAGTTATTATATTTGCTTTCCTAAATAAATGAAATAATAACTTAAATTATCACTCCCATTTCTGTAACAACTTAAAAGTATAACATTTTCAAGTGTATGGGAAACAAACATATGAAAACTGGTCTTATAGAGAGTAAAGACACCACTGTAGCCATGTAGTCCATTTAACATTTTCAAGAGGTAAGACAATTCTATTTCCTGAATGCAATATGAGAAAAGAACAAATGAATCTGATCTCTTTGTTATAGATGAAAAAGATGGCAAGAGAGCAAAAGGGTGGAAGAGAAGGAACAAAATGGCCTGAAAACTGGAGGTGAGAAAAGAAAGAGTAGATGACAAGTGGTAAGGCACAACAGACCAACAAACGTTGAAAGAAATACAACAACTGAAATGAAAGACTGCAAGAAAATTGAAAAAGACTGGCAGGAGACAAAAGGTGAGCTGGACAGGGAGTGAGCATGAGCAGAGAAAGCCCCCAAAAAATTATGAAAAAGCCAAATAAATAAATGAGAAAGAAACAAAAAAAGATTGTAAGCAGAAAAATTAGGCAGAGGAACATTTCCAGGCAGCCTTTCAGTCAATCATAATCCCCTAGGCGTTGGGTGTGAGTGAGAGAGTGTAATTTGGCAGTGGTTATCATTATCAGCATGGCTATAATCATAATAAGTGTAATTCCAGTGTGGGGAGATGGAAAAGGGGGACAGCGAAGGATGATGTAGGAGGATAAAATGTCAGACAGGAGGAACAAGGACTTTACCAAGTATAACCATGGCAAACTCCATAGACAGAGTGATACAGGAATGCAAATGAAAGATGAACAGAGGTCTGAAATAACAAATGAAATAAGCATTTGGCTCTTTTGATCAAGCACTCAACACACTGTAAGTTATCTTGATAACAGTTACCTTTGTTTTAAGGGCAGCTATCAAAACAGAGAGAAAGTCAAGGACTTTTGATTGGCAAATACCGAAAAACAGCTGAAAACCTCTCAGTTTGATGACCTTGTTGAAATGGCGTATTTACACTATGGGCTCTATTTTCGTGCCTCGTCGGAGACATGCCGCAAGCGCGGCGTCAGTCAGATCCGCCGCGCTGACAAAGCGTTCCCAAGCACATTTTGGTATTTTGGTGAGCCGCGCAGCCCGGCGTAAGTATCCCCCCTCCCTAACTCAGCTCCTCCCAGCAGCTTAAGTCGTAGTGAGGGTGGAGATAGGGCAGAGAGTGGGTTTAACACAGCCGAGACCTGTTTTCACCAATCACATAAGCTCCTCTCCTTGCCTTTAAATCCGCCACAGGTGAGGCGTATGACTATTTTCATGAAGTAGTCAAAGAGATCAAGAGATGTCTTAAGACAGTAATGCCACAAGATGGCGACAGAGGGCAGCTCCTCAACAAGTGTCACTGTAAGCGCTGCATTGGGCGTCCTCCACACTCTCTCATATAAGCACAGATGAATTTGGTGTGTGTAATGTTGGACCCACTGGTAAGACAAACACCCTTTTCCACAAATAAAGACACTCACATAAAGTTGCATATATTCAAACCTCACGTGACAAAGGTGGGTTGAGCGCACAGATCACAACATAAACTCCAAAAATGGCATTAAAATCGGAACCATCTGTGCGTAAATGACGCATCGCGCTCTGTGGCCTGGCTCTTTCTTTCATAGATGTTGGCATATAAAATAAATTTGGCCCACAAAACTGAATATTATAATATCCGTATATAGGCTTAAAGTAGATAACGCATCTGAGCACTGAAACAAATCATCTGTTCAGCCGCAGCAGCAGCAAGACGGACAGAGGACACGGAGACGTGTCCAGGTCGAGCTGTGCGAGAAATAAGAGGAAGAGGAAGAAAGAAAAGGAGGGAGACTTGTTAACTTCATCATGTGTGTTTATTTACTAGATATTCAATTTAATTTGATGCGGTTTCAGCTGTGTTGATTCGGTCAGGTTGTGTGTCCAAACGCGTGCCATACGCGCTCATCAGATCAGATATAGATCAGAATATATCGATATAGATCTAAATGTATGTGCTGACTCAGATTAATAGTTGTTGATGATTATTTATTGCACTGAAATGTGCCTGACACTGTGGAAACCTGCCGGTGAGGCATCAGTGACGTATGTCGATACGCCGCAGGTCTACCAAAATACTACTAGACCAGCTGCGCTCCGCCATGCGCTGAAAGCTGACCAGGTTTGAATCGGCGAGCTTTCAGCGCACTTTACACGCCGGTGGCGAGCACGAAAATGTCACTGCACCCGCTGATTCTGTCGACACCTTCCCCTGCCACGCCACCACGCCCAGCTTGGCGGATCTTAGCTCGCCTCCGTGCGGCTCATTCCACGAAAATACCAAACTGGCCGTTTGGCCAGACGAAAATACAACTGCGCGGGGTCCGCCACCCTCCGTCGCCTCATGGGCGCGCACGAAAATAGAGCCCTATATGTTATATGTTGCTATCTGCTGTTGAGATATTTACCACCACTACTCCTCCAGGCTACTGTTATTACTACAGTATCCTGCTCAAATGTTGGAATCTTTGAGCATTATGCACTTAACTGACTGCTGTTTTGTTCATTCTTAACTTTACTTGGTGCAGCAAATTTGCAAGAACTGGTTCTAGTTTCCAAAGTGTAGGACTATCACTTTCCTAAAACTTGTATTTTACCCTGTGTCTTAGTGGAAAGCAACAGAGGACTACTACCGGTTCCAGTGTCAGATGTCAATCAATCAGCACACATGTCAATGTAATGAAGGAATGTAGTCTAGACCTATTCTTTTGTCTCTTGAAATGACAGTTACAGGGAGTTGGCACAGTATAATTTGGATAGATTGAATGACAGTGTTGTGCATGGACATGCTAAAATGAATGTGTTCATTGAATGCACTCATATTTAGGTGAATTGTGAACTAAACAGCTCATTTTGTAGGGGAGACCAGGGCTTGTTGTCACATAGATAAGTTGTCACATTGCAATTATCTTTGCCACCAGAGGGCACAACTAAAAAGTGGAATACTAGTTTTCTTCCTTTACACGGTCAGGGGTTGTGTCTTGTCTGAAAAGAGAAGAGCAGATTGTGAGCTGAGATGAGTGCCAATTAACCATTTTGCACAACCCAAAGTAAAAAAAACAACTTTATATACTTTAAAAAAGGTTCTTCGAGATAAAAAAAGGGACAGATTAAGGCATCCTGTCATACTTCAGTCATTGTTCTATTTCAAGCTAACTTTAAGCAATTGGTAGTTTG